ATATCAAAGCTCATAAAAAGTAATTCACAAAGGGGGACATACAACCTGAAAACAAGCAATGAAAGAATGTGCATTATCACCCAGTAACCAAAAATGTAAATTAAAATAATAATTAAATCCCATTTTTGCTTACTAAAGTAATAAAAATGCTTTAGTCTTTCTAACAGCCAGTGCTGGCTGGGGTGTGGTGAAACTGGCACTGTCATATATTGCTAGTGGCACTGTAAATGGGTAAAACTCCTTGGGAAATCAATTTTATCCAAAAAGGCAAAAAATTGCTCACACTTTTTAATTCTATAATCCCACATCTAATTATTTAGTCTAAGGGAACTATCTAATATATGAAAAGAAGCAATTTTCATGGAAAGATATGTCTCAGATTGGTCAAAATTGTGAAAAATGTTAAGTAAATTGTCTAACAAGATATAGTTAGGAATAGTATAATGTATCTTGTTCTGTGGAATGTGATAGAACTGATAAAATGACGACTTTGAAGGCCACGAAGTAACAGAAAGAATTCTTATCGCAAATTGTGAAGTATTAATTTAATGTGACCAATGAATACAACCATCTAAAATGTATGTGTGTACACATAGTATACATATGCACATGTGTGCATATATGTATGCATGTACACATACATGTGCACATACATATACATACACACATACTTGAAAGAAAAGCTCCAAAATCCTAACAGTTGTTAGGCTAGGAGTTTGCAGTCGTTTATAATGACAAATTTTTTTTTCTCTCTAGGATCTATTTTTTCTATTAGTTTGCTTTCATAATTTTAGAGAAAATGTTTCGAGAGAGGGAAAGAATATTTCCCCACCGCCATCTCATCGTATCTCCCCTTTTTGTTTCTCCTCTCGGGTGACTTATTCCTGCTTATCTGTGCCTTGACAAGTTACTTTTTATCTCTGGAATTTGGAGAAACAATTTAACTGTCTTTCCTTTCAAATAATACTTCTTGAATGTTTTAAATTATAATAGTAAAACCTGCTCATAGGGAAAAAAGTAAAGCAGTATTAGGGTATAAAGTAGAAATGAAAATACTTTCCACTCCTGCCTCCAATGCCTTCCTCTGACCCCACCCCTGTGGCCCTGTCTCCCGGTGCCTCTTTGCACTGCTAACGGTGATTAACGACGTCTTGGTGTGTATGCTTCGATCTTTTCCCGCGTATTTACATATGCATGTAGACATTTTTTTACACGAATGAAATCATACTATACACATCACCCTGCCCACTCCGGTTGTGATAGGTTGCGCCAAATTGCCCTGCAAAGATGTGGCGCCCTTCCATATTCCCACCAACAATGTATCCTTAGCTCTGTTTCCCTCTCCCCTCACTAAAATCCTCAACTGCTTTATCTTTGCCAATCAGATAAGTAAAAAATGATACCTCACAGTTATTTTAATTCACATTTCATTCCTTATCAGTGAAACTGAACACAATTTACAAAGTTTGTTAGCCAGGATTTGGGACTCAACGTAGGAACTCCATCTTCTCTTTCTGGCTGGGTGCCAAAGCTCAGTTCCAATGTCACAGCCACCTGTCTCTTAGGGAATATTCTTTAAGCTGTGACAGAATTAGCAGCACATCCTTCTTTTTTTAGTTCTCATCCGTCTTGCCAGTTTATGAAAATAGAGGGCTTAAAGTAGTAGGGATTGCCTCATTTATAAAGTGGATCTATTACCTGTACCTTGTGTTGGTTTGTTCCATTGGGTCTGATATTATTACCAGTAAGGATATCATTGATTTTTTTTTAAATTGATGTTTCTATCTTTATTTTCAGATCAGTTAATTCAGGATATTTGAATTTAAAAAAATTCTCTGTGCATCCCTACATTACCTTTTGTTGTGGGACATTGTTCCTCAAGGTTCATAGGAAATGAAAGCTTGAGCCTCTTATCCCAGTTAGTGGCCCTAGGTACAATGTTTGTGTTGTTATGACGTGACACAGACAAATACAGATGGTTTACACAAAGCTGCTGTAGATTGAAAAATTGGAATATCTTGGGTTGTCGGTGTGATAGGAAAAATTCAATGTGTCATTGCAAGGGAAATTTACCAGTCTGTGACAACTCATGAAACAAGTATGAACAACTTACCCTCATTTCTCTTCCCTGTGTTATTTCACTTCTATGACTCAGGAGGAAAATGGTGTGGCTCCTGGGTAGACGTGAAGTCCACACCAATCCCTGAGAAGAAATTCCATCAGCTTCTAAGAGTTACTTGCACACTGCATCCATGGTACTCAGGGCCCGCGTTATTGCAGTTCACAAGGCCTAGGATTCCACAGAGGTTGTCTAGAGGGTGGAGATGCAGGACTTCTGGAGTTGAGAAAGGGAGAGAGGCAGGTGGGGACTGGTGACATGTTCAATAACGTTGTTAGGGACAGAGTAGCACAGTTTCTCTCCCCTCGGACATCCCAGAGATACAAATGATGAGACTTGCCCGGAACAAATACTTTGTGTCATCGCATGAGACGCACCTGTTCTGTACCTCAGAAAGGTGAGGAAAGCAACCGTCCCTCCAGGTTGGGAAAGACCCTTAGGAGCCCTGCTGGGCTGTAACCCCCTCCTGCCCTTTTAGATAACTGGGCTACTCCTTAGGTACAGGATGGCTGTCTTTCTAGATGGGGTTTTAAGTGGCTTAGCTTATGTGGCACCCCTGTGGAAATCAACCTTGATAAATATGGACACCAACAATAAATCTGTAATTCATTCGGTGACCAGTTGTCCATGACTGGGGGCCTACTTTCTGTTTAACGAAATGGCGTGCAACTGGCAAACCCCATCAGGCCAGAGAACTGGTCTAATCTGATGTCACTCCGTGAAAAGCCAAGTAAATGATGCAGAAGAAGGCTGTTGTTTACACAGGGCTGCCGTTGTCCTGATTTTCTGTGTGTAAGGACACCAGCTCTGTGGCTTTTTGTCCCATTATCTCACTGCAGTCAGAACTTTCAAAGTCAGTTGTGGGCGCAAGAGAACAGCATCTCAAGTCCGGCAGGTCATAAGACACCCGAGTTCCAACCTCGCTGTGTGAACTTTGACACAAGGTCATCTGTAAAATGGGGATAGTCCTCCTTACTTGGTGAAATAAGATCGTGCATCCACAGGACTGATCGAGAAGGCACACCGACCTCCTTGCAGTCCCGACTCACTTTGGGAAGCCTTTCCTTTCCAAGTTTCTTCCCCTTTACTCCTGCTCTTTGGTGAGGAGAAGAGACCGTGGGCTTGGAAGGCACAGAGAATAGATTTCAATCAGAGTCATGGAGGTCTTATTGCAAATCCCTGTTCTACCACTCATTAGCCACGTGACTTTGCACACAAGAACTATGTGAATCTCAGTTCTCTCTGTAGAGTGGGGCGTGCCTGCCTCCTGGGGAACAGGGAGTGAAATGAGGTAACATGGGGAAGTCCTCGGCAGGGCGCTGGTGCAGTGCCTCTAGTTTGAGACTGACCCATCTCCCATGACGCTGACTCCTCCATTCCTGCCGTAACGGGGATCCTGCAGATAGCAAGCCAGGTTTCCAGTGTGACATGTCCCGGAAGCAAAGTGATGGGGAATAGAAGCCCCATATCTCATTCTACTCCTGGGAGCCGAAAGCTCTGCCTAAATCACACTGCCTGCGAGTTAGCAGAGACTCAGCGGGAGAGAGAAGCTGCTGGAGAAAGAGCTGCCTGCCAGGGTGGCCTCCTGCTAGCAGGCCCATGCTGCGCGATGGCAGTGGAGTAAATCACAGTGAATAGCAGCTTCGGGCAGTGTGCTCCCCTTCTTAGTCATCATTTCCACCTCTGTCCCTGCCCACAAATACGCCCCTGTCACTGCCAGGTTCCCCTGCGCTGAGATCTTTCCAACTGGGAGAACCTGCAGGCAGTGCAGCCGAGGTGCTGAGGTCCCCTGGCCTGCAAACCTCTGCGGTACTAGCCATGATGACTTTTTAAGAGCATGCTGGCAAACGGCACTGCGCCTGTTCAGGACAGATTCCTGGAGAGATTTTGTGTATGAAGTAAGGCTGTTCGTCCCAGATCCTGTCTGAATCAGCAGCCCTGGCAGGAGCTGAACTCTCCCAAGCAACAAAATGGTGGAAAATTGCAGAAGTACCCAAATGGAGGCACTGGGGCAAAGGGACAGAGGTTCCCCTCCCCACTCAATGCCTTTACGGGCTATCCCGTTTTCCTGGGCAGGAGAATTTGCTTGTCCTACTTGATTAATTGGATTTGTGTTGTGTATTTAGAGATTTGCGGATATTTCTTCCAAGGAAGGGAAGACCTTTCGCACAGTGTCAACTTGCTCAGACCATAGCAAGTACACTGTGAAGCTGGGAGGGGTTTCTAGGCCTCTTGGGTCTCAGTCCAGGCTGCTGTGGTCAAGTCCATGGTCACCCTTCCTCCTTGGGCCCTCGGAGAGTGCTGGGACAATGGAAAGCAGCTACGTGTGTGTGGAAGTGAGCAGGGCTCCAGCTCTGTCAACGTACCTGGGTCAAATGTGGTCCCTGCCAGTTGCCAGCTCTGACTTTAGAGCAAATCTTAACCTTTCTGAATGTCTTAGGCTCCATCCGTAAAATAGAGTTAATAACACCTCCCAGATAGGATTGTTGTTGAGATTAAATATAAGATGATGTATAGAAAGAGCTAACCTAACACCTGGCACATAGCAATTGCTCAATAAGTGATAGCTATTATTATCTTGCCCTCCAGACCCTGTATCTTCCCAGCTGGGCATCAGTGGGCAAGCCTCCTAACCTCTCTGAGTTTGGTTTCCTCATCTGTGAAATAAAGGGTGCTCTCTCCACCTGATAGCAGCTCACAAGGCCACACCTGCAGGCAGATCAGCACTGAAGCTGGCTCCCAGAGTCCCAGGCTGGCTGAGGCCACCCTGCAGGTGCAGGTAACACACATGGAGGCAGTTAATTGGTGCTGAGTAAATCCTGCCACAGCTTTTCTAAAAACTTATGTTTGATCCCCAGAACTTTGTCAGTGAGCAAGAACAATGCCAGGAGGTCTGGAGAAGGCGTGTCATCAGTGCATTTCTAAGATCGCCAGCAATTTCTCAGAGTCACAGCTCTGAGAAATGCCCTATTTTTGAAGGATTTGGGGCTCTTGGATCACATGAATTGTTAAAGCCCAAAGTGAACCATGTGGATGGTCTGTGCTTGGCTCAGGGAGGCCCCAGGGTAGAGCTGGGGAGGACAGTATCCTGCCTTCTGTTGACACCTTCTAATTCTACTCCTTACTTATTAATCTTTAGCTTTCTATAGTATGCAAGATGTGTTTTCGTTATAATATGCAGTCAAAAAATGTTTGAGTGAATTGGGGCTGGTGCAGTGACATGGTGATTAAGTTTGCATTCTCTGCTTTGGTGGCCTGGGGGTCGCAGCTTCTGATCCCGGCTGCAGACCTACCCATCGTTCATTGAGCCATGCTGTGGTGGCATCCCACATACAAAATAGAGGAAGACTGGCACAGATGTTAGCTCAGTGACAATCTTCCTCAAGCAAAAAGAGGAAGATTAGCAACAGATGTTAGCTCAGAGTCAATCTTCCTCACCAAAAAAAAAATAATAATAATAATGTTTGAGTGAATGGAGTGACCAATACAACCAATGTACAATGGTAGTGGAGCTGGGAGATGTGACAGGGAGATATGGAACCACTGAATTTGGATTTGGGGTAGCTCTCCTTTATCCCCACCCCTCATCAAATTGGACTTTCCCTCACCATCACCCGCTGGGGTGATGGGGATACCTTTGTGTCCTGAGGTGCTGGACCACATCACAGAAAGCCCAGTCTATCATGACATTTGGAATATCCTAAAAGCAAATCCCAATCCTTGGGGCTTCTTGGGATGAAAACGTTTACCTCATGGTGAGATGTGTGGTCTAACCGTTACACAGATGAAGTGTGAACAAAGGGAACCTTGTCGGAAGCCTTAAGCCACTAATCATAGAGCGATATTATCAGGAAACAGCAGCCAGTGGGGAGAGCAGACTAATTGAGAGGGGTCAGGAGAACAAGGGGCTGATGGATGCGTGCTTAGCTCCTACTGTATTGACATGTTGATGCCCACGCACAATCACCAGCTCCCCACCTCCCACTCCTCCCAGGATGTCTCATTCATGCTGCATCCCCAGCACCTCCAATAGTGCCTGGCACATAGTAGGAGCGCATAACTGTCCACTGAATGACTAGATGGTGAATGAATGAAGCAGCAGCTCTTGATTTAAGCTTCTCCTCCAGCCAATGTGCCCAGACCCCGTCTCATCCTCCTTAGGCACATTTTACTCCCTGGAATGGCTCTGGGGGCTACCACTCCCTTCACTCCTGGAGCACACCTACTGTGTGGGGGCCAGAGTGGGGGCGGTGGTGCTGGACCTGTGCCCAGAGGCTCTGATGCTCTGGCGGGAAGGAAAATACCTAGGCAGGTTCACTGTCCTCTGAGAGAGGAGACACTGTTGGCTATACTGTTGCTCTATATCCTCCTGAAATGAATTCCCCCGCCACACACACACATGTCCTACCTATTGGTGCAACGAGAGCCCTGACAGTGACACCAGGTTGGCAAGAGAGGAGGTATTACTCTCAAGATTCCCCAGAGAAAGGGATGTTTCCTGGCTGCACAGGAAGTCCCCTGGTCTACATCATCAACTCAAGTGTCCTTGAAAGGTGACAGAAAACTGTTGTTGGCCATGCCCTGTCTGTGGTCTCCTTGGTCCCTGAGCTTTTGCCCCTCATTTTGTGAGCAACTTCATCTTCAGCCTGGACTACGGCAAGGCCCCCTAAGTGGCTCCTGTCCAGTGCCCCCAGCGCATCCTCTGCACATGGCCAGGGGGCATCCTCCCTGCTCCGTGACTCCTCATTCCTGAAGAAGGGAGAAAAAGCTTCCAATCACTTGAAAGACCCTGTGGGAGCTGACACCTGTTCACCTCTCGTGCCATCTCTTCTTTCCCTTCTCACCTTGGGAAATGCAGCCAGACAAAAACATTGTAGCTTCCCCGGAAACACCAGGCCCTCTTTATCCCCTGGGCCTTCCAGAATGCATTTCTTTGCCCAGAGCTCTCCTTCCTCCCACCTGCCCCCTCAGGTAAAGACTGGATCAGGCAAGCATCATCAGTGGGTGCTAAAGCTAAGAGAAAATGTTGATGACCAGCAGATGTTTGCGTTGTCTTAGAATCTTGCCATAGACTCCTTATTGGTTGGAAGGGAGAAAAACGTGGTAATTATGCAGTGGAAAAATTGGGAAAAACTTTGGGGTTCAAAATTAACATTGCCAGCCAGGGAGAGATGCGCATCACCTATCTATACATTAATCTGGCTAAGAATGCAGCACCTTAATCCAAACACAAGGAGACACCTGACACGCCCAGAGTGAGGAATATTCTATTAAAAAAGAGTGGAGAAGACTGTCGTCTCAGTCACTTCGGGCTGCTATAACAACTTACCATAGACTGGGGGCTTGTAAACAACAGGAATTTATTTCTCGTGGTTCTGGGGGTTAGAAGTCTGAGATCAGGGTGCCAGCATGGCAGGGTTCTTCCAGGTTGCAGACTGCTGACTTCTTGTTGTATCTTGACATGGCAGAGAGCAGAGAGGAAGCAAGTGCTCCTGTGTCTCTTATAGGGGCACTGATTCCCTCACGAGGGCTCCACCCTCATGACCTCTTCTAGTCTGAATGACCTCCCAAAGGCCCCACCTCCTAATACTATTACCTTGAGGGTAGGGTTTCAACTTGAATTTAGGGAAGACACAAACATTCAGTCCGTTAATGACTATATTCTTCAAAAATGTCAACATCACATAAAACAAAGAAAGGCTATGGAAATTTTCTAGAATCAAGGAGGCTAAGGAGATATGACAATAAAATATCATATCACTTGACAATAAAATGTCATACATATGACAATAAAATGTCATCTGACCATACATTGGTTCCAAGGACTTTATTAGGCCAACAAAATTGGAATATGAATGGTAGATTAAAGTATTGTATCAATGTGAATTTAAGAAGTAGCCGACTGTACTTGGATTATATAAGAGAATACCCCTATCTTTAGGAAATACACCGTGAGATTATTTACCAACTAAAAAGTTAAAAAACTTCAAACAAAAAGCACGCACACAGCAAACTGAGTGGTGGATATCTGAATGTCTGTTCTATTACGCTCTACCCTTCTGAATGTTTAAGAATTTTACCAATTAACATTCCTTTTAGAATTCAGACTGGGAAAAAACCTCCCTGGTCTGATCTTCCAAATTTCCTTCCCAAATTTCTTAAAATGCTGCACTAGATGCATATACGTCAGAGCATTTTCCTTTTGAATGACTTTTAAATTTTCTTCTATATGGTTTTCTACAGTTTCCACATTTCCTATGACGTACTACATACTTATATAATGAGAAGGAAGAGTTGTATTTTAAGAGCAATCTTCAGATATCTCCTTAGATGTCTAAGGATAGATGTGGCTGGTCCCTATCCACATGTGATGTTAGCTAAGTGGTGTTGGGAGGGAGGTTTGAGGCCTCAGAGGAGTGATCCATCTGTCTGTGTGTCTGTCAAGGGAACAGGGCCGTCTCCATCCTGCGTCAGACCCCACTGAGCCACCTGGAAGAGCTTTCCGGAGCTTCCCTGGGCCACTGCCCAACCCTGACGATCAGCCTTCCATCTCATATGTTCTTTGCATCAAGTTCGCTCTGCTGTGGTTCATTTGCCTCCCTGTGCCCTGATGCTGGCCTGGAGGATCAATTTAATAACGGGGAGGCAATAAAATCGTGATGAACGCATGTGTGGTGTGTGCAGCCGGCCTCCAGCCATCACAGGATAACTCAATTAAATGCGATGAGTGGTCATTTGCACCTGTCAGGGCGTCCTGGGGAAGCCCTCTTTAGTTCCACGTGGAGACAGCAGATGAAAAAGGTCTTGGCAGAGCCCAGACTCAGGAGGACCACTGCGGGTGATCCTGAGACTAGACTCAGAGAAGTGTGCCCCTCAGTGTTTGCAGCCCCCAGTGGGGTGGAGAGAGGCTCACACAACTTAACGTACTGAACGCAGAGTGGAAATTTTATTCTACAATTCTGGCTGTGAGAAATAGCATAGCATTTTATTTTATTTTTAATGTACTTTTAAAACTTTAAAACTTCCCCCCTTCTAGATAAAATTAATCTGACTTCGAGTCCCTACTTGCCAGAGTCGCCAGAAAATCAATCTTGGATGTTACTGTCACAGGAGGATTCAGGCTGTGGGAGTTGGGTGATCGTGTTTGCCCCTTTTAGGGTGTCCGGGTAGGAAATGCTCCTGCTCTCTGGGCAAGGCCATTATGAACCTGTACAGACCCTTTGTGCAACTTTAAAAAGGCAACCCCCTGGCAGGGTCGCATCAAGGACACACAGCTTAGGAGCATTTGTTGGACAAAAAGGGCATCCCTTCTTACAGCCTAGGGGGATCTCCATCTTCCCTCATCCCTTAGCCTAACCCAGGCCCCCTTCCTGCCAAACTGCACAGCAGTACACTCCGTCCTTGCCGTGGGGCCTGCACCAGGGCCAGGCTTGGCATGTTGGGGTCTTTATGAGCCTGGGGCCTGGTGCCCCCTCCCTAGGTGCCCCTTGTAGCAATTCCCTCTGGAATTAAGTAATTCTGAAAGGAGGTCACCAATCATAGTTTCCATCGAAGAACTCCATTCCTCTTCCCCTCCCCCTCCCTTGTCCCTCCCCTTCCGGGCACTTTCCTCCATCCCTTTCCCTTGGGACCATCCTGTGGAATTGCTCTCAGGGGGCTCCAAGAAGCCCAATCTTGCCATCTCTCATCAAGGATGAGAGAAAGAGATTCTAACACCCGTCAGCCCAATACTTCCTGCTAACTCATCCTGTTACACAGATGGCTCGAAGACTTGAACCTTTGGAAACTCAAGAAAGTGGGCAATGGCGGTGGTTTTAGAAAATCCTGCAGCTCTGGACTCCAGATTCCTGTAGGTTCACTTGACATGTTAAACGTGGTGAATTCTGAGCCAAACACACGTCATTTCCCCAAAGCTCCTCCTCTTACTGTCCCTCACTTTTCT